GATGAGACGAAGTGATGCCTGAGTCTGTCCAGTCACTTTTCTGTCACTTGCTAAACATTTGGAATTGGACAGAGAATCCTTACATTTGCTTTCAGCTCCGTGTGTGCACAGCCCCCAGTGAACACTAGGAAAAGCTAATTCTGAGACCCCAGAGCGGTGATTACTTGCAAACCCCATCCTGAGCCCGCGCTGCGTGTTAACTCCTCTTGCTGCTTTAAGCACACCCCAGGTACTCGGTGTATTCTCCTTCTGGGATTGTGATTGTTCTCCTAAGTGCAATTGATTTTTCCGAGACTTCACCGAACTTAAAACTGAGCAGTCCCAACTCCTGAGCAGCGCTCATTGTTTATTCACAGCACTCCACTGCACTGTGTCCTGCAGGCATGCATTGATAAATACTGGTTTCAATTGGAAACCCTGCCTAGAACTCTCTTTCACACAGAGCAATGAGAAACTGTAGGTTACAGTGGCAATACGTGGGAGTAAGCGATGCTTAGCGCCTGTTCAGGTGGGAGCTGTCATCAGCAGGGATAGGATGGGCGATTGGACTGACTTTGGAAGGTAATCTGTTCAAAATTACAGCCCTTAATCCTGGTGGGCATGGGGACAGCCTCCCTCCAGATACAAGCTGTGTCACATGCAGGTATCGGGATGAGAGTGCCACTTTTAGACTGAAAGCAGACCCCTTCAGAGTTACCTGTTTCAGTAAGTGCTGTCTGTGGGGGCCCTGAAGCCCCCTCTGTTGTCCTTCTGCCCAGGCAGATGGCGATGAGTGGGCCAGTGGGGTGACTTTGAACCGAGCAAGTCAGAGAGCCTAAGAGCTCCCTGCACACTGACACTCAGTCTTGGTGGTGTAATAGGCCTGGATGCTGCTTGTTGCTGCTGTGTGTTTGGTTGGATTTTTGTAAAATACTAGGCAGAAGAAGCAGCAAAATCTTGGAGCGAAAAGGCTGCTTGTGTGCGTGTCTCCTAACCTGTTGAATCTGATGGGCTGACATTCACATGCGTATCTGATCTGCTTCACAAGGTTGGGCTCAAAGGATGAGCCATGTTTTCCTGCTGTGACTTGGTCTACATGTACATGGCATCTTCCTGTTGGACAGGAGCTTTTGAAAATCACTGGTAGTTGAAGCAGAAAGTGTTTGAAGCAGCTTATGAAAGTCTGACTTTGAACAGTTCATATTGGACAAGTCGGGGATGCTGGATGGCTCTGTGGAGGTGATTCACCTTTTAGCAGGTGTGGCTTTGCTGTTGCTCACTGGGAAGGTGCCTGGCTCTGTCCAACAGCAGCTGATGTCTGCTGGCTCCATCTCAGACTCTCTCCGGTTGGAAAAGCCCCCAAGACCGTGGAGTCCGGCTGTCTTTGTTGTGCTGGCATGGTTAAGTGCTGTGTGGCCATGCTGCTGCTCCTATGTGCAGCTCCACGTTGGCTTTCCGAGCTAAGTGTCGAAACCCTAAATGGCAAAACCGAAGCATGTTGCGTGCTTTGTACCATATATTGTTACAGCCCCTTGCCTGTCAGTGTATTCATATGCTGAGTAGCAGCAGGGGCCCTGAAAACTTTTGTGGTGGATTTGTGTAAGCGCTCAATATAAAGAAATTAATTATCTGTACTGAGGCTCCCCTCCTATCCACTCACACCATGCTGCACAAACACACCAAATGCCTTTATATGGAATGTAGCTGCTGCTTCCCGTAAATGTTTATAAGATGTTATTAAAAACATATGTCCTCTCTTCCCACAGCCCTTGTTTAGAAAGCTTGCTGCAAGCATGTTGGACTAGCTCTGCTTGCAAGAAGCAGCATCTGTTGTACTAAAAATGGTAGTTTTGTACAAATGCTGTTGTTGTTCTTGTGTAAAGCCAGATAGAAGTGGGATCCGCTTTGCGTTGGCTCACCCCTTGACAGAGCTAGCAGCGATTCTTTGTGCCAGCCTTTAGAGATTTTCCCTACTGAGGCTAAACTGCCAGCCTTAACATGATTAGCCACCTCTTTTTAACCCCTGGTGCTGAACTTTGGTGCTCAGAAAACGGGGCCTGTGGGTGTATGAAGAAATTACTGCCTGGAGCCCAGTGGGCACGTGCAGGTAACATGCCCGCAGGAGCCTGAGCTGTCTGCTCCGTCCCTGAGCAGGGCTGGCTTGTGGCATGAAACCACACGAGGAGAGGAACACGCTTGCCCAGCCCCTGCTGATGTCAGGGTGAGTGCACAGTTCTGAGGGAGGGTTGGAAACAAGTGTCTCATGGTGTCTGCTGTGGGAAAGGCATCCAAGTTTGGGGTTTTTATCATAACATGCAGGCAGCTTCTATAGATACTAGTGCAGTAAATCCCTGTACTGCTTACCGTGATCTTTCCCGTTACCTTGCTCTGCTTATTCTTCTGGTTCCAGAGCACATTTGTCTCCTCCTCCCCCTGGCACTCCGGAGATACTGTTTGGATTTTGAAGTGGAGGACGGGCTGTCTTTCAGGCTTTTCTATGGTCCTTGCAGTGAACTGAAGAGGTAGCTGTTGAGTGGTGCAAGAGCTGCTGCTGCTGCTCTTGCGTTTTGTGCTCTGCGCTGCCTCCACGGCAACAAGATCGATTGTTGTTGTTGTGCCTTTTCCTGCTGCTTGCCACCAACTCCCTTAAAATAGAAATCTTTTGGTGGTTGGGGTGGGTTTTTTCCTTCAGCCATTTAAGTTTTGTTTGGTGCCCTTCATAATAAAGACCAGTGAAGCGAAACATGGGGATGAAGGAGAGTAACTTGTAGGGAACCAAGAAATAAACCAACCACTGTCCTCAACACCAGACTATAGAGCAGCCGGTACTTCGGGGGCCATATAATGCTGTAGCCCGGTCCTGGGTGGTCATTTTTCCCAGGCAAGGTGTTTTCCAATAGAACAGTGTGAAGGTGAGCGAGGTTATTCTGCCCATGCAGATGGTTGTCCCTGTCTTAGGGAGGTAAGGAAAGCCTG